CCATATTTATATAATATTGTTTTATATGAAAAACATTCAGAACAATTTTATGTATAAAAAAGTTCCAAATGTTTTACATATAAAATAACATTGTATTTCACATGTATTGTTTCATATATGAAAAAAACATATAAAAACTAATTTGTAATTTTCTACAAATGATTGAATATGTGAAAGAATATATATATATATATATATATATATGGTATATTTCAACTACTATAATTTCTATTTGTACAACCAATACAAACCAATCAATTGAGATCTTCACGAAAATGACGAGAGTTCATTTATTATAATTTGAATATTTATGGAAGATGATCAGAGTTCATTAATTATAATCAATACTTTATATTAAAAAATAATCAAAACTTTTATAAAGTCACATATTCATCAAATTAAATGGACGGTTGAGATTGAGTTATATTGGTTTACAAATGTAAATGATTTGCATAATAACCCACCCCCTCTCTCTATATATATACATAACATGTTTTAAATCCTTTCATAATTTAAACATATAACTTTTTAAAACTTCAAGAGTTTGAATTTTGTGAACCAAATAATAAATTTAAATACATAATAAATGTTAAATTATATGAATATGGTGAAGTGGGCTAATCATGATTAAGTTCAAATCCAAGTATGAATAAAAACCCCATTGTGGTCATGGAGGTTCAAATACGGTGACTTCAAACTATCTGTAAAGCAGGTAGTCATCTTGGGATTAGTCGGCTCGCATAACGGGTTGGATATCCAAGTTAATAAAAAATTTTATGAATATGACATAATATAATAGTATTTCAAAAATTTCAAGATTTTTTAATAAAATATATAATATTTTTTCATTTTAATTTAGAATAAATTTTTAATAAGTAGTAAAAAAAGACCGTACGGATCTTTTGAGTGGTGGGGTTTAATTTGTGATTAGGAGGTGAAGTGGGTTAATCATGATTAAGAACCAATTAGATAAGTGTTGGAGATAATCATGAAATTACAAATAAATTATTATTTTTTAAGCTTAATTATTTAAAAACTTAGGGGACGTTTACTTAAAAATTACCCGGTCAGTGCTTACTGGAAAAATTTAACACTATTATTTACTTACCGAGTGAGATTTTAGTTCACCAAAACGACATTGTATACAACAATTTACCCGATAAACGTTTATCATGACAATAGTCGTCGCTCTCACTTACCATATAAGACTATTGGTTCTTGTATCGCTCTTACCAGATAAGATTCTTGTTTCTTATCATATTCATCCGGTAAGGTAGTGTGACTTGGTAAAAGCTTACCCGGGTAAGCGTTTGATAAACTGTCCCTTTGACAATTGTGAGTACTTTAATGTATAGTTTTATATGTTTTTTTTATCATCTAAACTTAATATTCAATGTATTGATAAACATATATTTGTTTTACAATGCTTTTATTTATTAACCTGGATATTCAATATACTATGCGAGCTGACTAATCCTAGGATAACTACCTGCTTTGCAGGTAATCCGGAGTCACCACATTTGAATCTCTGTGGCCACAAGAGGATTTTTATTCTCCTTGGATTTGAACCTGAGACCTCCAGATACTTTTGACCTTTGGAGTCTAAGCTTAAACAATCAAACACCACCCATGTGGTTCAATATATTTGCTTCATATATATATATATATATATATATATATATATATATATATATATATATATATATATATATATATATATATATATATATATATATATATATATGGGTCACAATTTTACGTCTAACTTTTGTTTTACAAACAGACTATAAAAGTTCATATTGTGAAATTAATATATGTTAATTGATATTTTAAATCTTATTTTTAAAAGAAAAAAAATCACATAAAATAACACATTATTACATGAATATTCAAAAATAACTATTTTAATAGTAATTTTTAAATGTTTTTACATATTTAATATTTAAAGAAAATCATTTTTGATCAGTTTCATACAATATTTCAACCCTTTTGACACCATCTTCAACTGAACACTAAAAACACACAAATGTAAGGGGTCATTTACCAAACGTAAGGGGTCATTTACCAAACGTTTATCCGGGTAAGCCCTTACCAAAATCACATTACCTTATCGGATGAATATGGTAAAGATCAAGATTCTTACCCGGTAAGAGCGAGATAATGACGAAGAGTCTTACCCGGTAAGTGAGAGCGACGACTTTTACCATGGTAAGTGCTTAGTGGGTAAATTATTGTATACGATGTCGTTTTGTTGGACTAAAATCTTCCCGGTAAGTAAAAGATAGTGTTAAATTTTACCAGTAAGCGCTTACCAGTTAAGTGTTTGGTAAACGGCCCCTAAGTATTTTTATCTTCAATCCAACACTAAAACACTAAACGAATTGAGGTCCAAAACGTTGGCCTCTGTAGGGGTGTGCATCGGACAGGTCGGGTGGATTTGGGTGGGAAAATAAAAAACCCGATCGGACTTCGGATATGAAAATCAAGCCCCAATTTTTGGATTTCGGATTGCTTCGTGTTCAGGTTTAGCTATAATGCAAAAAATATATATCTCCAATCGATTTTAACGATGAATTCAATCGATTTAAAAGATTGATAAACCAATAATATGCTTAGAAATTAGAAAAGAACACGACTGACTAAGATTTTTAGAATTTTCAAAAAATAATTAGATACATAAGTATATTTATATAGTACTTAAAATATATATGTATATATGTTTCGGGTTTTCAAACGGATCGGGTGGACAAATCAAACCCAACCCGAACCCAAATTTTCCGCCAAAAGTCGGTTTTTCGATTTTCGGATTTCGGGACATTCGAGTTTTACATATATACCTTATTTTCGGTTCGGGTTTGGGTTCGGATTTCAGATAATTCTGGTTTTGCACACCCCTAATTTAGAAAATTCTCGAAAACAATAAAGTTCGGCTAAAAACACATCAAACAACTATGCGGACTTTTAATATACTTTAAAAGGTGCACCAGTCGGCAAAAATCCTAGGGCCACAACTATTAAAGAAAACTCTTATTTGTATTTTTTAATAAATTACGTAAAAAAAAGTGACATTTTTTTTTATCTGGATCACAAAAGGATTCATTTATATGTACATATTATTTGGGTAAAAAGTTGATTATCAGTAATCATAACTGGAACCCGACTTCAAGAACAACAATGTCATAGAACATTTTTTGCTCACTCAACGACTGAGGCTAGTCCAGGAGAAGGGGATCAGAACCGTTCCTTAGCACGTTAAATGTGAGATTTTGAACAGGGCCCCCAAAATTTTGGGACCCAAATTTACATGTGACTAGGGTATTTTATTGACCTGTGTAGAATTATAGCCGAAATTATTTAGGTTCAAATCATTAATGGTTTAGGTTTAGTTTCAAATTGTTAATCATTATAGATTTAACTCATTTTGTTCTTAACATATATTATTTGTTATCTCATTTATGCAATGCAATCAAAAGTTTAAGACATAATAGGATCTTCAAAAAAGATTGGAACGTCCCTGAAAGGCGATGAAATCCAAAACCTCGATTTATTAAATCATAATCTTTTAATTATTTTTTAAATTATATAAATTTAATTTATATACAATTTTTGTCGTACTTTTTATTTAATAAAAAAGACATGCAAATTGTTGGTTGGTTGGTTGGTTTGTTTGTTACTCGACAACAACCACACGTTGGAATCATCTCACTGAGTCCGTGTTCACACCTCTGTATATCCGGTTTTTTTATTCTTTTCACACTTTCATTAATATCCGGTTCACTCCCCTTAGACCGGGCCCAGTTATCCACTATTTTAAAAACAATATAATTTAATAAAAAGACATAGAGTAAATTACAAGTTTGGTCCATTAGGTTTGGAAAATAAACACTTTTCATCCTTTCATTTTCAAAATTATAAGATAACCATCATAGCTTGCAAAAACGTCTAGATTTGATCCTTTTTTCTAAAGATAGTTACAGAATCCCCTTAAATGAGGGACTTTTTTGTCTTTTATTTAATTAAAATTGATTTTATGATTTTGATTCCTATGGTTTTTGATTGGTAAAAGAACAAAAATGCCCCTCGTTTAACGAAATTTTTACTGATTGTTAAAGTTAAGGACATGATCCGGACGCTTTTACAAACCACGATGGTCATCTTGTGATTCCGATACTAAAAAAACGGAAAATATCACTTGTCACAAATCATCAAGGACCAAATATGTAGTTCACTCTAAAAAATATTCCAATATTTTTTCAATCACCAATCTCAAGTAACAGTTAATGCTCAATCAACGTTTTGAAAACATCAGTGTTTTCATCTTTTTGGTATTACAGTATCTAAATTACTGATAGAATATAATATTTTATAAAAAATAAAATGTTTAAATTTTACTACGAGTGTTACCGTATTATACACTTTAACAAAATGTAAATATAACGAGGAGACAACTAGGAGGGCATGAAAGAGATGCACGTGTCGATTTCATAGCAAGTGTTGATTAAGTTGATCAACAACAGTGACGAAACTGCCTGGAATAAATGATTGTCCAAGACCTGGTCTACAAAGAAGACCCAGATATAATAATACTGTACATGTTTTTTTTATGTTCAGTCAATTGTTCAAAACAGTCAAATATAAATCATAATAAAAAACCAGTAAAGACCAGAATATACATTCTGATACGACCCTATTCAAATTAAACATTCGTTAATCAAATTTATTTGGCCAAAATCCAATTTAATTAAACTTAAAATGCGGATTTGATTTGATATATAATTTAATAAATATTTTTTTAATTAATAATAATTTGGAGTTGGGGATAAGGTCAAGCCACCTGCATAGGTAGCACACCCTTTCTCCATCCGACGTGGCAGTCCATATCACTTTGACCCCTTCTTCTCTCTCCTCATCTATACATACACCATTTCTGTATCTATATCCACCATCATCACTCCTATTCCTATATATATATACAGACATATATCTATGTATCTATCATAAACCCATAATTCCAATTCTCAAATAATCCTTTTTTTCTTTCATTAATTCACAAATTTCATCACCAAAAACCCAATTAATCGAATGGGAAACTGTGTAAGAAAAGATTCCGACGTGCAATGGGGCGGCGACGATTGGGGATCTCCGTCGTCATCGCCGGAACATTCCTTGCTTTACTCTGAAGGTGGCAGAAAAACTGAAGAGAGAGAGGTGGTCGGAGAAAAAGATTCTGATCACCGGTTTTCTTCTTCCGACGGGAAGAGGCCGCCGACGACGGAGGTGAAGATTAAGATAACGAAGAAGCAGTTGGAGGAGTTATTAGGTATGAAAGAGATGCAAGGGTTGACGTTACAGCAGGTGTTGAATCTGTTGATGAACGGTGGAGATGGAGGATTTGAATCGAATCAACGGTCGTGGAGACCGGCTCTACAGAGTATACCTGAGTGATCGTCTACATATATATTTTTGAGGTTTAGTTATTGCACATATACATACATATTCTTTTGTAAATATAATTTCGAATTCAAGATTTTTAAACTCTTTTTATGTATATTTATTTATTTATTTTATGTAAGTTATTTGTTTTACCTTTTAATAGTTTCATTAGAAGGTAACCTCTGAATCGTGAATCTTATTTAGTAACAAAATTGTCTCTTAATGGTTCTAAAACCCTCTGAATGATTTTGTATCTTAGGTCTCCCTTAACCATTCAACACCATAATTTCATTCTGAATAATTACTAAACAATTATATTTCATTTTGCACTGTATTATAATAGTCTCTTAATCATTCTGATCACTTAATCGTTTTACATCAAACCATTTAACAATTGCCAAACAGCCCTATGTGAAAGTTTATAGTAATTATTCAGAATGCCGTTTTATATCATTAGAACATTCGTCCTTTTATAGTAATTACTTATGTGAAGTAATTAATTACATGTATAACAGATAAAATGACGTTTAACAGATCTTCAAAGCGTAGAAAATAAAGTATTTGATTCTTTTAGATTTTTAAAAAGAGTTGGTTTCGGTAACGCACTGGTTAAGGCTTAATGGGATGTAATGGAAATTTCATTTTTTTCGAGTTTGAGTCCAGGCATTGTCAAAACTTTCATGGCAATGGAGGTTTACCTGTGATGACACCATACATTAGTAGTCGTTTGAGTGAATTCTCGGTACTCGGTGCGTGTAAGTTGGTCCAGATACCCATAATCACTCGAAATAAGTTGGTTTCGGTGGAATTCTTAAATCATTATTCAAAATAGAAAAAAATATAAAAGAACTAAAAATTCTATTCTTTATTACCTTATTTAAAAAAAGGAAGAATGTACATTAAATTATAAAATTTAGGGGCCGTTTACCAAACGTTTATCCGAGTAAACGTTTATCAAGTCACATTATCTTATCTGATGAATATGGTAAGGATCAAAACTCTTACCTGGTAAGAGGGAGAAAAGGACCGAGAGTCTTACCCGGTAAGTGAGGGTGACGACTCTTACCGACGACTCTTACCATGGTAAGAGCTTACTGGGTAAATTGTTACATACGATGCCGTTTTGGTGGACTAAAGTCTTACCTGGTAAGTAAGTGGTAGTGTTAAGTTTTACTGGTAAGCACTTACCGGGTAAGTGTTTGGTAAACGATCCCTTAATTTGAAAATATGTTATTTATAAGAAGTTTTTTTTTTTTGTATATTAAAGTACTGAATATTTTAATAATATAATTAATATTATTATATTGTAGTAAAATGGTAACGTATTTCAAAAGAGAACGGGTTACGTCAAATACCATTATGAAAGACGTTATAACGAATTTTGTCGTCTCCAAGAAATCTTATCTTTACGCCTTTTATGTGAAATGTTACTGAGTTTTCTCGTCTTGTAAACATCTGTAGTAGACATCTGAAGGATTTAAAAGCATATTGACAAAGCTATTGGTCTATCTGGCTTATTCGCACAGTTCATTTGGATTGTTTACTTACGACTTATTCGCACAGAATATAACTTAATCGCACAGATAGAAATGGTGTTGTCCTTATTCAGCTACAAAAATGACACCCTGCCCTTTATTTAAAGCACCACTTCCTTCCCATATGAGACACCCTATCTTTGGCCTCTTTATGATTTTTTGTTTTGACGTTCAAGTAATTAATATTGGGGGGTAAATCGGTCATTTATGTTATTCAGACTGTTGGTTCAGATAAAAAAAATAAACACCACCACCCATTTATCCAGACAGACAAATTTATTCATACAAGACTTAATAATTTTTTTTGGTAAACAACCCCTAAATCATGTATAGCTAAAGGTATCTGTGTGGATCAATCTGTTTGTATATATTGAGAAAATTATTGTTTGAAAAGGTTATTTCATAGATGGAAGAAGTATTGGAAGGGATATTTTGACAAAAAAACTTGTCTTTCTGTATAAAGCTCCCTAGAAGCTTATTGGATAATCCACATTATATATTATGAAGTCACTACTAAACCATTATGTATAGCCGACCAAATAAGCTGTGAATCTCGTCAAGCTGCTAATAAACAGGCCCTAGGAGTTCCTCCCTTAGCTTACAGAGTCGACATCTCGATCAACTTCATGGACCGATAAAAGGGGTTGGTAAACATCATCGTTTCTAACTAGATAAGCGCCTCTTACCTGTTAAAAAGCAAAGCGGTAAACAGATAGCAAACAACCCCTAAATAAATGTCGCATCGATTAACTACCAACAACTTAAATTTCACAAAATAATTGGTATTTATATCAATAAATCTATATGATCATATAACAGAATCCAGAGAAGAAAAGAGTCCCAAGGTCATGGTTTCGCCCCCGTGCCCGACGAGCCGCCATGGGCTCGGTGGTGCATTTCAACATGGACCCAAACCGGTTTCCGTAGCTTTCTTCCCTCTCCAAAGGATGATTTGTTCGTCTTTATACAAAATGGGGACACACGGTACCAAATCCTGTAAAAGTACAAACAAGATAAAGATACTGTTAGATTTTTTCAAGAAACCAGATCAAACAAACCCAATATATCCGACTTGGATGATTTGACTTCAAGAAACCAGATCAAACGAACCCAATATATCCGACTTGAATGACTCGACTTCAAGAAACCATATCAGGCAAACCTAGATGAATGACTTGACTTCAAGAAACCAGATCAAACAAACCCAGTGTATCCCACTTCGAATGATTTGACTTCAAGAAACCAGATCAAACAAACCCAGTATATCTGAATTGAATGATTTGACTTAAAGAAACCAGATCAAACAAGCCCAAGATATCCCAATTGAATGATTTGACTTCAAGAAACGTAAAGGTCCAATCTTTTCACAAGATCTGATTATAGGCGTACCCTTAGCTTCGCAGCAATCCTTTTGCAGTCGCTCATACCCACGTGGGCACAGTCGAGTTTCAATACTTCTTCGGCTTCAAAAGCCTCTCTCACTTTCTCTACAACGTTAGCATACACACCGTTTCTCGCTGCAGAAGATATAACCATCAATGTCAAACTCCGCTCTACAAAAAATCAAATGGCAAAAACGGAAAATAAAGCATATCACACACACACACACAGAGTATATGTGGAATGACTGGAATCCATTTGAATCTCTTTCTAAAGGAACCAAAGTTCGTACATATATAGAGGCCTGATGGAGATGAATCCTAAATTTCAATGGCACCGAAGGATCAAATGAAGGAGAAGATGCAGAAGCGGTGGCATTAGTTAGGATGGAGGCCGGAGAAGAAGCAGAAAGAAGGGGATGTTGAAATTAGATGTTCACGGATGTATGCACATGTGCATGCAAAACATGTTCACCGTCTTCGTTTTCTACGATGCTGAAACTGGATTCAGTTGTTCATCTTTCAAATTCTGTGGTTTATGGGGTTTATGCATACGTGAATACAATGAGGAATTTAAACCTTCATCTTTTTAGTATGTTTTTTTTTGCTTTTGCACACGTGAATACACGGGATGGATTCAAGAATTCATCTTTATCTCTTTCTACTTTGGTTTTTTAGGTTTATGCACGTGTGAATATGATTAATACGTATCTCATTCACATGTTCATGCTATCCAAAAACTGAAAGAAATTGAACATTGTGTCTCATTCACATGTGTATTTCAACCCTGCAAATCGAATGACATTGAATATCGTGATGCATTCACATGTGCATACAAACTAGAAAATGATGGACAATGAATACGACGACCTATTCACATGTACGTACAACCTAGAAATTAGAAGATGATGAATACGGAGATTCATTCATAGGTGCATGCAACCCATAAATTAAAAGACAATGAATGTGGTGTGCATGTGACGCATAAATTGAATGAAGCAATGAGTAATGGAATATTTTTTCTGTAGATTGTAGAATATTTTTTTGTATATCGTTGAAATATTTTTTAGATGATTATGAAGTTCCCATAAACTGTAGTAGTTTTCCTTTATTTTAGGGATTTTTAATAAATGGAAATGATTATCCATTTATGAAATGTACTATTTTGCCCTTTTCCATTTAATAAAATGTTAAATTGCTATTTTTGATAATCGTTGGATTAGAACTAATCTGTGGTTACTAGAGTGCTCCTTAGTTTTTCATTTTTCTTTTTTGCGGTTTTCCCCTGAACCTGACCCTATATATAAATTAAAAAACTGAGGAACACCCTAGTAACTATTCATCTGTACAGTTTGTACATATGCATACCAGTAATTTGTAAATAATCTTTCTGGTATGCACATATGCATAACATGCCCACGTGCATAGATACCAAAAAATATCTTCAATTACTTGTATGCACATATGTATACCGTACAAAATAAACGACTATTAAGGTGTTCCTCAGTTTTTCAATTTTTGGGGGTTTTCCCTAGAAACTCACACACACCCTCCCCCCCTATATATAGGTTTTATGGTTCGTGTCTAGCTGATGTGGGATATATTGTTTTCGTTTGGACTATGTGCATGGTCAAACCAACGAAAAAGGCAAGAGATTCACATACATAGTTTCATAAATGGAGGAGAGTTAAGTCCACGGTTCCTCATTTCTTTGGTTTCTTCAAACGTCAAGCCATCGGCAACGTTCTTTATGAGCTTCGGATAAATTGGCGGATATGGCTTCCATAGCATTAAAGGAACGACGGGTCTATTCTTGGGGTCATAATTCCGTCCCCTATACAGTAACAAGATATTAATTTGACGGTAAATGATCTTCCCACCAGATTTCTCCTGCAAAGTTCTATGAATCCATCAGACAACCAGAATTAGAGCAATAAAACATTCTAAAGTTAAGAATTTCGTTAAAAGATCCGTAAGGATGCGTTTGGCACCGGAAGGGAAAAAAATTGTGAAAGGTTTCAATTTGCCATGGATACTTTAGTAATTTACCAAACTTGTCTCATTTCCTCGGTTTTTATTCCACCAACTTTTGGTGGGACAGGAAAAAATAATGCATTTTTGTCCCATAGTCTTGTCTAGTCTCAGTCTAAGGAGCTGTTTCCTTGGTTTTCCGTTATGTCCTTGTGTGCATTAATCTGTCTATACAGACCAGAAAGGTTTTTGTTTGGGAGGTTTTTTTTGCTTTAGATGGAATGGGCATGTCTTTTAATTGGGAGGGACAGGTTTGAAAAAAACTTGGCTTTCTACATAAAGCTCTCCCGTAAAAGCTTAATGAATAAGCCACTTTCAATATCATTAAGCCACCACAATTGTTCAGCGTTTGATAAGACAAAAATGGTCAGGAAAGAACAGATAAAATGATTAATTTACCCCTAATAAGTGGTTTATATCTTTTATAAATTTTGATTAATTTATGTAATTTATTAATTTCTAATAAAATAAATATTTTTTAATAACAAAATCTATCATTAGAAAATTTTCAGCAATGATTAAAATGACACCAAAATAAAAAGTTTATGTAGTTTCCAAAAATTTTATATTTGTACATTTTATATATTATTTTATTTAATAAATTACATAAATTGACCAAAATATAGAGACCGTATGAAAATAATATTTTGAGTACAATAAAGTAAAAGTTTAAAGAGCATAAAATAAAATAAATAAAATTTATAGAATCAATAAAATGTAAAAAGGGAAGCTTCTTAGAAGAGAATTAAGTTTTATTTTGAGATTATATTGGTAAAATATACGTTTGGGACATGTCTGTGCAGCCACTCTATTCCACATGAAAGTCGTGCCAAACGTGAAACAGTGATCCCATGATCCCTGTTCTGTTATGTCCTATCCAGTGTACCAAACACACCCTAAAAGAAGTACAAGTTCAAACCTCGAGGTGGAAACAGACATTGTCCATGTCAAGAGTCGGGACTCCTAAGCATTTGATCCTTATAGCTTCGGCTTTCTTCCAATGGTTATGGATGTCATCGATCATGTTGTGAGTAACCCCGCCCTTTCCTAACAAATAATAGACGTCAAGATTCAATCAAGATCTTTCTTTTTTCTTTTTCGCACACACTTTTTGCAAGCCCGAGGACTTTTGCAAATCAAGATCATATTGTGAGTAACCTCTTCACTTTTTAGCCCATTTTTTCCCGTTTAAACCAAAATGGCCAAGATTTCGCATGTGCCCATTTCCAAACTAGCGAAATGTATATTTATGAATAAAACATGATTCTAGTGAGCGACTTCGCAAGCCACTACCAAGATTTTGCAAGCCGTCGCACCCATTTTGCCAACTCCACCAAAATCATATTTATATCAGAAAAGGTACATTTTGGGCACTCGCAAAATTTGGGCTATATTGGTTCAATTAGAAAAAAAGTGGGTTAAAAGGTGAAGAGGTTAATCCAAAATGACTAGTTTGGTCAATTTCCCTTTTTAAATCCATGACCTTCCAAAGGTCTCGTTTGATAATGTCATTTCCACACACAAGAATGCCTAGAAACCTGTTAGAAGGTCATTTATCAGGATTTTAAAATACACCTGTCACGAAGGTCATTTAGCTAAATATACCCACAAACAAAAAGAACCTGCGGTTTATCCGGCACCCCCATCACACGAATACGTTCAAGATTTCATTTTTCATTAAGAAGTCGACGAAACACCATATGCCCACAAACGCTAGCAAGATTTATGAAACTTTGAGAGTAGAACAAACGAAATCTTGAATCAAAATGATGATAAAACATAGAAAAATTCAAGGTGCAATCCAACCCACATCATGTATTGCATTAAGGGGCTGTTTACTAAACACTTATCCGGATAAGCGCTTTCCAAGTCATATTACCTTACCGGATGAATATGGCGTGGACCAAGAATCTAACCCGGTAAGAACGAAGGCAAGGACTGAGAGTCTTATCCGGTAAGTGATGGCAAAGAGTCTAGCAATGAGTCTAGTAACAGGATTCATCTTCTATAAATAGATTTTCTTCAAGAACATGCTGTAAAATTGGGATATTTTAGTAGTGAAGATGTGAAGTTTTACCCAAATTGATTTGGCGACAGCAATCGTTATGCCGATACAGTTCAACGAGATTTAATACTTCCTCCTCCGATAATGGTTCCCCAAGAACAGCGTTCCTCTCTTCTTCAACTTTGACCATATCAACCGCCTGCTGCGACGGAGCCGCCGTGCCGGTCCATTTCCGGTCAAGTCGACCAGGTCCAAAAGGAGAGAATTTGGGGGTTTCTCGATACCCAATTGGTTCAACGGCAGGATTGGTTTCGGAGTAAGAATACCTGAAATCAAATGGTAAATCAGATTTCAAAGGGAAATTGCTCTGGGGTTTCTTCTTTGATTCATTTTTTTGTTTCTTGTTCTTCTGATTGTGGGTTTCTTGATTTTGGGGTTTTAGGGTTTTGAGGATTGGGGAGAAAGGTGGGTCGTCGTCGAAATGTGATTGTGTTAGTTGACGGGAGATAAAGAGGATTGGTTGTAGTGGGTGGCTATGGAGGTGGTGGTGGCAGCGCCGCCGTGAAAAGAGCTTTAGCATTTGGTGGCTCCTCCGTTAAATATTTTTCCGGCAACGAAATTTATAACATGAAGGTGCAGCTGGGCAATACAGGGAGAATTTACATATCTGGCCCCTCAAGTAGCTCTTTTTTCGATTAAAACCATCATCTTGTAATTAATTTTTGGAAAATTGTCAAAAATAGTTATTTCGGACCATTAAATTGAATGTTTTGGTAGCACAAAATTTATGAAAGTAGTTTGTTATTTCATGCATTTAACCTTAAATTTTATTAATAATTCATATATCGTTAAACCAAAGGCCTGTCTATACCTATTAGAAACTTAGAGACTGTTTGGTAGTTGCTGAATGATTTGGTGCAGAATGGTCAAGTGGTCAGGATAATTAGGAGGCTCTCATGATATAGTGCAAAATGAAATATAATTGTTTGATAATTAAATACAATGAAATTAGGGCGTTGAATGGTTAAGAGAGACCCATGATACAAAATCATCAAGAAGGTTTTAAAATCATTAAGAGACAGACTTTTTTTTGCCAAACAAGATTCACCTCTTAACGATTCAGAAGCTGCCTCTTAATAGAACTATTAAGAGGTAAACAAACAACCCCTTAGAGATATGCTAGATGGTTATGTTGGAAAATGAGTGTTTTGTAGAAGGTCATTGTGCTAAATAGGCCTCCTTCAACTCAATAAATTGGTTTTCTCCCTTTCAATCTCGATTACATTTGCAAACTAGTTGAAAAGCTAGTTCAATTGTCAACTGATAAAAAAACCGACTTGCTGGTAAACTAGTCATGTTTGATAAAAAAAAAAAAAAAAACTAGCTGATAAGTTAGATTACAAGATAAAACATGATTTAAGGGGGTGTTTGAGATTGCTTATTTGAAATAACTTATACTTTTCTATAAAAGCTCTTATCAACTTATTATAAGTTAAAATGGTCTAACTTCTTAAAAAACTCCTTATTACCGATTTGACACAGGTATAGGTATAAGCTGTTTATCCAAACACTCAAAAATGTTTATTACCAGTATCACACCGGAATAAATCAATAATTGTATTTATAAGCAATCCCAAACACCCTCAACACCTATGTGATTCTAATCAAACATTCAAGATTCTCAAAACAACATACAAACCTATTGAATCTTTTCACTTTTCTAAGATGAACTTTTAAACCACAATCCCTAAAATCAATTGCAAATCATAACAAGGTTTTACATGGATCTAATGTTGCTTCCAATCTTTCATTCTTGCATCTCCTTTGATCGACAACCATCGATTCGAAAACGTCCAACAAACAATCCAACCCTTCAAGATCTTCCCCAATCGCCTTAAGTGCATAAACGATGCTCTCGATGGACGACAAACATCCCGCCTTCGGTTGCCGCCTAACTTCACCGTACAAGCTCATCTTTTCGATATCCAATTTCAAATGTGGCAATAGTTTCAACCATGGATTCTCCTTATACATTTTTGTTGCTTTAGACCATGTTCCATCTAACACGATCACATTCTTGATATCGAAATCTGCATCTTCGATGCCAATCGAATCCTCACTCGGGAACAAAAGCACCGATCTTGGAGGGATTACGACTTTGAATTCTCCCACGTAGTCGTGATCCCTGTTTCTCTGCATCTTTTTCACCGTAAACCCGTTTCGTATTCCATCAATCGCAGCTCGATCGATCAAAAGCTCATCGAAATCGCGGGTTTTACTTTCGTTCCAAATACGGGTAAGAGATGTTACAGTTCCCTTCTTTTCAATGGTGAAACTGATGTCAGCAGGTTGAAATGATTCAATCTTTTTGCGATCTTCGATTGAATCATCATGACCCAGTTCGAGATTCGATTCGAGAAAGTGTATATCGAAGTGGGCTTCAGAAATAACATCTGAAATCGAAGCTAAATCGACGTTCTTGAGACCTAACATTGCGATCTTGGCTGAATTTAGTGGGTGTTTCTTCTCTAAACTATGTTGGAGGATGGTGACGGCTATGGAGTTATTGAGAATTGGGGTTTTCAATCGGGTACAGAGGCAGAATCGGGTCGGTCTGGAACAAGATGGGCAGGTGGGTCTTCGATTTTTCGGAGCAGAAAGAGTCGCCATTGTTAGGGTTTGAGAAAGAAGGATGATTTGCGGTGAGTTCCGGTGAGGTTTGAAAACGGAGAAGAAGGGTTTGTTTCCGGATTGTAAACGGATCCCCGACCCGAAATTGGTGAACATTTTACTGGAATTTCAATTTGGGAAGAATGATTTGGGCACATCCTATTTATTGAAGTCTTAAGAAATGTGTATCACGTGTGTAAATATTAGGAAAAAGTCTAAAAAAAATTCAATGAATTTCAGTTTTTGAAATTATTAAGTTTTTTAACAATTTTTTGAAATAAATAAGTATTTGGATATTTCAAAACATGTTAAATAACTTATTGGACTTTCTAAAACATATTAGATACATTTTTATGACTTATACAACTGGTTAATGTGGTAAAATAATGAAAAAAGTCTGCAAAAAAAAACCAATGAAATTTCATATTTTGAACGATTAAGTCACTAAACATTTTTTGAACCAAAAAAGTACTTAGATCTATAAAAATAAACAAATATACAAAAAAATTACTTACATTAACGAAAAATACTTATATTTAAAAAAGATTATTGATAAAATTTATTTTAATTAAAAATAAAATATATTTTCTCAGTGATTTTTTAAACTACAAAAAAAAAA